AAAGTGTGTTTAGGAATAAAAACAGAGGCACTCTTCTGGTGCCTATTGCAGGGCACAGCTATTTGAAACAACTTGCTTAGGGTAAGAAATAATCCTTAGAAAATTTAGCTCACCATTAGGAAATGCAAATTTGGTTCCCAAATGCTTTATTAATTAACATGCAAGTTTTCTTGTATTTATCCTCTCAAATGCCTCATGAAGAGAAGGAAGAGATGCAGAGATCTCTTAAGATACTGTGAGAGCAGGGAATGGGAACAAAGCAATTCCCAGTGTTGTAGCTCAGAGATGTTACTGGTTTCTCTCCTTGTCTGTCTTCTTTATCTTCCTGTAGGAGAAAGCAATAGCACAGGTAACATGGGTACTTTGGACCCAGTGCTTTCTCTTGGTATACCATGAGCACATGTGTTCTGTGGTAGCTCCAACAATGAAGAAGACAGTTTGGAATGCTTTAAAATGTCAACTGAATGTCAGTTTTAAGTGACAAATACCAATGCCTGTAAACTTTTCGTGGGCCAAATAGAGCTGTCCTAGAAGCATAAAGGCTCCTTTGAAAGGGATGGAAGGTCAAAGGATTGGAGCACAACATTAAAAAGACATTTCAGCTTCTGAGTCAGGAAGAGACTTTTTTATGTTCTCTGCTGGACATTGGTTCCTCTTGCATAAAATACAGCAGTGTTAGTTTGTGCAATTGTTTAAAACATGGGCTTATGACAGAAAGTGAAGACTGTGTCTGAGAGAGAAAAGCCAAGAGCGTATACTGTTGTATTCATTGACTCAGGAGTGCTACCCTCCTCACTGCCTTTCCAATTTCACATGCCTATCATCTTTCATCTCATTCCAGCTTTCAGGATTGTGGTCTATCCTCCTCCTGATTCTCTCCTCTTTACTGGAACTCTGGCTGTACCAGGAAGAACTCACTGGGAAATCTATCTTGAATTTGTAGAAAGAGACAACTTTGTTGCCTTTTTTATTCTTTTTCTAGCTGTCTACTTTAGAATTTACTAATGTGTGTGCTAACGATTTTGAATGATGTTTCTGTTCTGTGGTTACATGTATGAAACTATTGTTACGTTTCACATCTCTAAAAGCTAGATCTAAGTACATCCTTCCTACTGTCATATTTAGCTATTGTTTCTCTTCGAGTTTTCTCTAATTAGTGTGTGATTTGCTTTATTTGGATTTTCAAAGTGAATAAAATGATCTTTTTTTGGTTGGATAATATTGAGCAATTATATACAAGTAACTACCTACATATAAATCCTATAGGTAGAAAGGGTAACAAACAATATTTTTGTAGATGAAAATTTGTATTTCTGATTACTCACCTGCAACATAAAATTGCAGGTGAGCTATGGAAAATGAAATCAAAAGAGTGCCCACATGAGGCTTTTCTAATAAACTAGAAGCTTTCTTCTGTAGTTTGAGTAACTCACTTTTTCTTTGTGGGTTAGTTTTCTCTTTGTTGATTTATTTTTGTTTTTAAATTAATATTGCATCACTCCATTGGATAAGTAGAATCTGCATGCATTCTTAAGAATCTCTCTTTTTTTTGTAAGAATCTATTTTAATCTGCAGTATAGTAGATAACCTGGTTTACCATCCTTGTAGCTGGAAATGTCATCTGTTTATAATTTTTGCATTATAATGCTTCCTTAGTCAAATGACCTAGATTACTCAAGTGATCTGTAACAAACTCTAGTTATTTGTTTGTTCCTGAAGCTAATTCATAGTGTTATGTTAGATTACATGGTGTTCCAGTTTGATTGAATAACACTTCATAACTGTGGCAATTGCTATATTTCAATTCATCAGAAACAAATTCTTACTATTGTGATGCTTGCCTACCTTTATTCCTTAATGTTTTTATTAACCTCTAGCAAATGACTGACATACAAAATACACCTTAGGTCTATTTTAAAACATTTCATCCTTGATGAAAAACTGTAGATTAACTTTGCTGTTTAAGGTGCATCACTTTAATGGGTGCCACTGGCAGTTAAAATGAGTAATGATTCATCAGAAGATTTTCAGCATAATAAAGACATTTACAGTGGCTTAACTCCAAAAGTGTTGTTGTCCTTGCAGCTGTTGTTTTGCTCTGTTTCATTTTTTTTCCAAGAGCCATATTATGTGCAGATATGATACTTGAAGATTCAGGAAGAAGTGACACTTCGCTTATTAGGAATGTCTCTGCTTTTCCATTACTAAATGTTATACTATGTTCAGAACCGTAGGGAAAAAAAATACACTTGGATAAATGTACATCAGAGCATATGATTAATGGAAAGCCAAAAACAAATGTTAATGCTTCCCTGAGTGGGGAATGAGTCTGATGAGCTTATCTGATGTTTGCCTTCTCTTTATCTCCTGGGATTTGGACATTATTGTTTACAAATCTTTTCTTTTGCTTGGTTATTGCAACAGTAATTGTTCAGTGATTGAACTGGGGATTGTTTATCTTGTGTATGACTAGGTTGTTTGTAATTACTCCAGGAAAACTGCTGGAAATGTGGAGGGTGGAGAGATTCTGGGAACACTCCTGTGAATAGGCTCCAGATGCCCAGGAAGGACTCCATACTAGAGTTCTCCTATGACAGAGAATTGTTCCTGGGTTCTGTGCTCTGTGCAGGATGGGTCTACCCAGTAGGATGAACTCAAACTGCAATCACAGAACCACAATTTCTAATAGTCTTATATATGTTGAAGTATGAGTTGAAGTATTTGCGTGGGGAAAAAGCACATGGTGGTGACAGATTAATGCTAAGTTCAGGCAAGGTCCTAACCTAGATCTGCCATGAGGGTCTCAGGAGTAGAAAACAGATGTGCTACTGATGGACAAGCAAAGGGCTCAGTTTTTATTGTTGTTCTTTCTACTTCAGTCAATATCAATACCAATAAAACAGATACGACTTGTGTTAATGCTGCTAGGAGAATTGGCGTGCTTCAGATTCTACTAATTGTTCAGGCTGTGCTACCCATGCTAAAATCAATGCTCAGAATACAGATGTTGAAGTGTTTTTCTCTATTACTGCTACTATAGAAATTAGGGCTAAAAAAATATATCAAAAATACAATCAATTTATTCCTGTATTCCAAAACAAGGTAGGCAATACCTAAAATATTCATTACAGATTCAACCAGTTCTATCTCCGGGAATGGAAATGGTACCATTTCCTGCAGTCTTTTTCAGTTGTACACGCTATCCTCCTGGCACACATACGCAAAACTTCATAGGCTGGGTAGCATTCACAATTATAAATGTCAGTGAGTTTCTTTATTGTGGTATCCACTCACAAAAACTAAATTAAATTAAAATCAGTTGCTGGTAAATCGTCTTGTAGAGCAGGATTTCTCTCTTTAGGTGTGAGCTTATTCTATTGAGAAGTTTTCCATATCTTGAAAATGCAATGCTGAGCTAAATCTAATTCCTGATGTAGTTGTTATTGACACTTGTATTCCTCCCTCCAACTGATCTTTCAGTCACATTTGTGACCAAAAATTTCAATTCCATCCACTCTTTGAGCCTAGATCTCCAGCTATATAGCCCAGTACGTGTTTTCCTCAAAATAATCTGTTGAGATACCTGTGAAAAATAGGATAACTAAGGATCACAGTAACTGGGATAAATACCAATGATAGAAAAAAATAAAGAAAATGTGAAAAGGCATATTTGTACAAAATCAGATGGGTGGTGCTGATCTGCACAGGAAGTTGAGCAGCTAACATTTTACGAAGGCTAGAAGAATTATTCTCTCAGAGTACAATTTCTACAGTACATTTTTATTATACACAAAATATGTCTCAGGATAAAAGAAATCTTTATTTCATTTCATGATTGGTGTTCCATGTGGTTTTGTTTCTTTTTTTTTTTTTTTTTTTAAAGATTTTAGGCAGCTGAAAGTAGATCATAAAATTTGCATTTAAACCAAAATAAGGCTTGCAATGTAAAGTTGCATCCAGGAACACTTGTGTAACTTGTTTTCCTTTCTGTATCCTAGAGTGATTTCTCTTTCTCTCTCTCTCTCTCTCTCACAGACACACACGAAGGTATTGTGGCCTCTTGTGTTCTGGCTAATTACACTTTCTGGGGCATCTCCCCCCTTCTTTTTCCTTTTTCTTTTTTTTCTTTTTCACCTCTACTTATTATGTGAAGAAGATTTGATTGTTACATGTAATAAAATAATGACAGTTCATCTCCATCAGCAATACTAGCTTAAACTCCACAATTAGAATTTTTTACTAAACGTGATAGTGATTTTGCACTGCTGAGCTTTTGTGTATCAATACACATATACAAACTATACAGATACTGTTCAGTATATTATGGCTTATTTGAAATTTAGCTTTTTACTGTCATTTCCCAAGTTTACCTATCAAAGCTCTATTGCAGCTAGCCTTTTTATTTCATTGTACTTTGATTATTTGAACATATCTGTTAGAAAATGAATGAGTGTATGTAAAAATGTGGTCATAGATTGGTCAGTGAAGAAGAGTCCTACAGAATTCAAAAGGCCTGGAATTTTTCAACTGTCTTATTATTTCTGGCTTCTTGGTCTTCTGTGTTACGTAATATAGCAGAAAAGGAACAAAATAAGTCACAACCTATCTCCTGTCTTGCTGCACAAAATTTGTTGGTTGAAAATGTTCAGATTATTATAGGCTTTTATTAAACGCTGTCATTCTGTTGACAGTGTAATACTAAGAAACAGCTCTTCTGCAAGAAAGACTCAAAGATTCTCAATCTGAAGTCTGAATAAAGGAGCTGGAACTGGAAATGTTCATCTGAGAATACTGGGTGGTCAAACCTTTGGCTGTTTTAGCTTGGTCCAGCTTAGCAGCATTGGGCCATGGATAACATAATTCTCCAGCTGTTTTAGAATAATCTGGAGGGAAGCAATACACTAAATTGGAGACAGATGGATAGCAAGTTGTTTAAAAATTGAATATTTTGTGTAGCAGATTCAGGTCAGGTGTCTGATATGATGCTTTTGTTTTCACAGGAAAAGAAAACAACACCTAGAAACCGAGTGGCTAATGGTGGTGAGTTATCATTTTTATCTTATTTCCTGCAATTATTTTCTTTTTGTCTTTTTTCTTCTTTGATGAGAGTTTTGCTTTCAAATGGATTTTTAAGCAATTTCATCAGTACGAGTAGGAGTCTCTTCCGTCTGATCATGTCCATTATGTCTGAAAAGCATGAGCAGGTTGTATGATCTCTGGTGTTTTCTAGCAATGTACTGTGCTCTATTTTATTAAATTACACAAGTGAGCAGCCCAGGCTGTGTTAAGTAAACAATATGTGAGCAACTGAAAGGTCCATAACTCAGCGGAATGGTAAGATTAAAATGGAAGAGATAAGAATGTGACTTAGAAGTATGGAATGCCGAGGCCTATTATCTGCAATGCACAGCAAATATTCCAAAGCAGCAATAGATGTTGTTCCACATGTCTGCACTAAAAGTGCTTGAGTGTTGCTGTTCAGCAGTGTTTGGTGAAGATTCTGACATTTGGGGTGTTACTCCTCTTTTGGAGATCCTTTTGTGCTGAGCCTGGTTTCAGGGAAGGGTGTGGATGCTTGATTTTTTTTTTCTTACTTATTTCCCACACACACGTGAAGTACATTAGAGTAAAAACTTTCACCGATTTGTCATCTTTGAAAGTTAGGACTTCTAGTCCATGACGCTCTAATGTGCATAAGGTTAGTTATACAGCCTAAGTAGCTATTATTATGAATCCTCAAAAACATTTGTGTGTATGTATATATAAAATTATATATATATATAAAGAAAAAAATGAGTTGTAACTTGATAATATCACAGGGCTCCTATATATCAAACTAAAAAAAAACCAACAACAACAAAAAAAAACAACAGTATAATATCTACATAGAGCTAAGCCTGCCAAGATGGATTAATTGGGTGAGCAATATGGGGGCACTTTTATTAGCATACACTAGATTCTGAAGAAATTGCTCAAAAAGCCTTGTATTCTAGTGTCTTTCTGAGAGAGGGTTATCCTCCTTATTTGGGGGAGGAAAAATGAGCCCTGAAGTCAGTGGGAAATTTGCCCCAGGGAGAAAATACAGGGTTACAAGCTTATATGCCTAGCATTTGAATATTTTTCAAGCCTGAACTTCTCTCTAATAGTTCATGTTGTCATACTCTTGGTATTACGTTAATAAATGCATTTGTTAGGGAGGCAGTTTTCCTACTCTGATAAAGTACTGTGACTTTTGTTGTTACTTTTAGCCTGTGAAATTATTTCTTGTATGTTTCATAACAAGAAAAGTAGTGACAGTACAGTGCGTTTTACTATATGGATTCCTAATGTTCATTGAAATATCATATTTCGGGTAAATTGCCTAGAGGTACCAAAACCAGAGATTGTTCACAAAAGAAACCCTAATAAATGTTCAATTTCAAGATATGTCTGAATGCTCTGTGACAAATACTTGCGTAGAAATGAATCTAGAAATCAAGGTCTTGTTGCTGCCTAGGCCCACATCTCATCAAATATGTTTAAAAAGTTATGGTCTCAAGGTAGACTTTATGGTTTATTCATATTTAAGTTCTGAAACAAATGGCCTGATTTTGGACAGCACTGTGCTTGTAGTAGTAACATTTACTTGAAATTGAGCTGAATAGTTAATAACTGTTACTGTGAAGGAACAATTAGGGAAGGATAGGAACAGGACATAGCACTAGAAGCAGCAGTTGTAGCACATCACAAGCCTAACTGGATATGGTCTAAGGGTAAAGAAAAAAAGTCTCTTAGGCTTATTTCTGCTTTGGAGGGGATATAAAAAGAGCATTCGTGGTTATAACAGTGATCCCTAAAGGTCACTCAAAAATTCTGGCTCCAGACAGCTGCTGGTTTGTGAGAGCTAGTTTTAGCAGCTGAAGTGAGACTTACAGCTCCTTTCTCACTTTCTTCATGGCTTTTCCTCAAGTGTTTCTAAGTCTCACTGTTGCAATAATACAGAGATTTCACAGTTATCAGATCCAGCCCAGAGCTCTCATTGATCCCTGCTTAAGAACACTGCAGGGAGTGCGACATACGACTTGTTTTCATCCTTGCACAAAGCATTTCTTGCATGGTGGTCCATGACCCTGGAGACTAGACTCAGCACTAATTCCTTCTGTTTCTCTCTCTCTCTTTTTTTTTTTTTTTTTTTAATTTTTCTCTGAACTCTAGAAAGACACCTTCATTTTACACCTCCTAAATGTCAAGTCAGAACCTCTTTTCCAAGTAGCTTTTCTAGGTTGCAGCAGCTGAGGAACTAGCTGGTTTTCCCTGTTTGTACTGGGTTTTGATTTGTTTATCATTTTCCTTTGAATGTGCAAATGTCTGTATTTATTTTATTTTTTAACATATTATTTCATGGGTTTTACATAAGTTATTAGCCTGATCCTTAGTTGCCTTGTCACAGAGAATCTGCAAACACAGTGACAAAGGCTCCTGAGGAATTTCTTTGACTAAGGAAAAATTCCTGAGTGGTACAAACCATCCTCTTTCATTCCTCGAGGAGCACTCGAGGAATGAAAGAGGATGGTTTGTACCACTCAGGAATTTTTCCAGTGCAAAGGGAACGCAAACCTGTTACTTCTGTGATTCAGCTATTCTGACTTCTGGAGCAGCTTTATTTCATAACACATTTCTACTTTTATTTAGGAATTGACAGCCTAGAAATATAATTAAATGGCTGTCCTTCGCTTTCCAGGTACACCCCCTTAATGGAATTTTATTCAGTGTAGTAGTTTGATAGCATGTTTTTTTCAGTTGAAGTTGATGACAGATCATCAGGTAGAGTGTAGTGGTACCGTACCTAATGGTAAAAAGGAGTTTCTGAAGAAATAAAGAAGGAAAATTAGACATAAGTGGATTCATCAGTGAATCTGCTAGGATACTGAGCATTTTATGTTGTCCGAAGACTTAGGGTAAAGTGTAGTTGCATTTTATATACTAATACCTTGCGATTATTGATCTAGATTGATCAATATGTTATCATAGACAGTCTAGTGTGTAGTGTTGTTTGCAACTGTAAGCTGTACACTAGAACGTAAAGGGTGAAAGATCTTACGGAAAACATTAAATGTCTGAATGGGAACCTACTAAGCTGTATCATTTAGAATAATGCCTTGTGCTAGTTACCCTGTAGAAAATTGCTTGTGCCAACATAAAATCAAAACGAAAAGGCTAGGATTGTTTTCTATAGACAAGATGCTAAAAAAGAACTGCAACAATTAAATTAAAAAAGGTTCAGAGAGGGTAGTGCAGCATGGAAACATTCATGAAATTTCAAGAAAGCAGATTCAAAACTGATAGAAATACCAACATAATATGTGGTTGGGAACTCCAACATTTAAGTCATGGAAGACAGCAATATAGCGAGAGTAGAAAACGAATTGGATATTTTAGAACAAAATAATACAGAATTATTCCATTTAAGTTAAAGTCTTGGATGTTTATGTAAGTATAATTTTGTTCCTTGTTTTGAAACTGCTGAGAAGCATTTCAAGCAATACCTCTCACTATTCATTATTTATGAATTTGTGTTAATGCATGACCTCATAGATAAAGCTTCCATAAAATTTGGGAGGGGGAAAAGCAGTGGCATTTTCTAGGGGTGCACAGACATTTCTGGACTGAACTTTTCCAAGTAAGAGTTTTCATGGTTCTGATAGCTTTGCAGAATATATGTGTAGCTAATGTATTCTAGTTGGCTTAACTGTGTTATAAGACTTCTTAATTTTTTATTTTTATTTTCATTTTTTATATTTCTTTCAAGCTTGTTTCTGCTGCTTATGACTGAGGTTTTGCTACATTCCTTGCAGGGATACCTTTTGGAAATTGAGCTGGAATTAGTGACAGCAGGCTGAGAGACCTAGGTTTTATTCTTCCTGTCCTTAGGCAGAAGGTTTGAAGTGGTGGAAAACTAATAAAGGCAGAACAAAGAAGCCAGATGTTGTAAGGCGGAGTAGAGGAGATTCAAAAATACTTTCAATAGGAGAAGATAGAGAATTGCTTATGGGGTGGGAGGTGGTTTTGGTGACGAAGGTCAAAGACAGTGAGCTAAACTGAGCTGAAACAGTTTTGTCAAAGTACAAATCCTGGAGCAGTCTAGGTGGTTTCACATCCTCTGGGAACTTGCTCAAAAATCCTGTAGTGTAATAAGTAAAGGTGAATGGGTTTTGAATCTTACATGAAGCCTTATTTATATAACTGGCTGGTTACACATGCAAGGCCGTTCAAAGGAGTAAAACAGCTCAGAGGAAAATATTCCAGTTTCTTCCACAGGAACAGGCATCTGGGAGCTGCAAGTTCAAAGATCTTTGTAGGATGACATCTCAGAAAAGAATCCATGCCATGGAAACAAAAAGGTGAATACTACAGAGTAGCCTACCCTACACCTGGGGAGTCTTAAAGTGTTTACTACTCATAATCTCAGAAATTTACATGTTACAGAGACAGTCCTTCAGGTTTTCATGAGTGCCAGTGTAAATGTTCACTTTACTGGCATTTTGTTTAGAGAAATATTAATAAAAAGGATTACAAACAGGCACTACTAGTGTATAGCTTTTATTATACTGCTTGATCTTTAGGAGCATGTTTTGTGCTACAGTGTCTTAGTGAATATCTGTATTTTTGAGACTTTTGCTTTCTGCTTAATATGTACTGGAACTTTGCCTACAGCTTAGCTTTGCCATCCTTAATATCACTACTGACTCCCTTATCTTTCCTAATTTTAATCACTTACAGTGAAGAGTAGAGTATTTTGAATGTGTACTCTGCTTGCGGGAGTTACAGGAAGGCTGCAATACAGGAGCCTGTCAAAGCCTAGGTAGCCTTGCAAACTTATCTCCTACTATTTTTAAAGGAATTCACCTATCAGCTTCCATTGTAATTGTGCAGTGTTCATGTGTGCAGTGTGTTCATATTGAGCTACTTATGTTACAACCGAGATGTTATAATTCCATAAGCCTACAAGCTCCGCAGTCATTGAGATAGGAGAGATTCTGGTTGTGATTTTCCCAGAGGTA